CTCTCTCTCTCTCTCTCTCTCTCTCTCTCTCTCTCTCTCCCTCTCTCTCTCTCTATCTCCTGTCACCATATGAACTTGTGGTTTAGATTCAAGAGGTCCATTGGGATTTGGGTTTGTAAACCAGCAATCCCTGTATTGATTAAAAAAAGCAGCAACCCTCCATAAACTGGAAGGACCTTGGGCAATGGGATTGCCTGAAGAATTAAAACCTATCTTAAAGATATGCATGGTAGACCTTAAATTTTTGTTATTTTGGCCATGTATGACTTTTTAACATGCTTACAAGCTACCTAAGCGAGTCATTTGGTAAAAGCTTGGTTTTCATCTGTACCACAGCTTTCTCCAATTCTTCCAGTCCTATGTTCCATAATTCATGAATAATGTAATAATATGTTAATTTGACTGTTGTCTGTCTAAGCTATGAATTTCTCAATAACCTCGTCACCAATAAAACATACATCACATCATCACATGCACAATTGAATTTACTTGTTCTATGACATCCCTTTGCAAAACAACATTTTCCACTTACAATCATAGGTCTTGTTTACACTGTAATTAAGATACTAAAGTACTAGCATACCTTTGCACTGCATAATTATGTGAACTTCTAAAAATGAACAGCCTGATGACCAAATCTCTACATGGTCTTGGTTCATAAATAGGTATAAATGTTTGAATTATTTTCACTTTTTCTTCTTTTAGAAATGAGGGAATTCTCCTTTCAGCAGTGGATAAAAAAGCCACCTCACACACATCATCATTAAAACTTGAGATTCTCTCAAGTATAGGCAATATTTTTTATCCACAACTGGAAGGGGCATTCTCTTATTAGGGGTAGAAGTTTTTCTGATTTAGTTTCCTGGGTGCTTGATTTAGTGGACTTGTTTGCTTGGATGAATTCTAATGGAGTGAGTTCGTCAGTCTCTGATGAGCAGGTTCAAGGTGCAAGGATTCCCCACCATCCTGGTATTTGGTGCTGACAAGGACATTCCAGTCTCATATGAGGGTGCAAGATCTGCCTCAGCTATTGAATCGTTTGCATTGGAACAGCTGGAAACGAATGTAGCACCCCCTGAAGTGAATGAGCTGACTAGTGCTGTAAGTACTTGTCTTCCACACCAACAGTTTACCAAGTGTAAAATTTACTAAGTGCAAAATCTATTGTTTTCCTGATTTGTAGGATGTAATGGAAGAGAAATGTAGTTCATCTGCCATCTGCTTTGTTGCTTTCCTCCCTGACATTTTGGACTCTAAGGCCGATGGGAGGAACAAGTACCTTGAGCTCCTGCTATCTGTTGCAGAGAAGTTCAAAAGGAATCCTTACAGGCAAGTATTTACCTTGGAGGATTGTCTAGAAGAATTGAGATTCATTTTGCCAATGGGTTCCTTGGAATCTAACATAGATATTAGGGTTTCAATGTCTCTCACATGCTTTAGTCGGGCCAGGATCAAATACTTAAATCATCTAAAAATATTTATGGCTTAGTGGGTCTCAGCGTGGTTTAGAAAGGTTCTGACCTTGAACAGAATTGATATTGGATGTATGCTACAGCTTCGTTTGGGCAGCTGCTGGTAAGCAACCAGAACTTGAAAAGCAGGTTGGTGTTGGTGGGTATGGTTATCCAGCTTTGGTAGCATTGAATGTCAAGAAGCGAGTTTATACCCCCCTCCGGAGTGCATTCGAACTTCAGCAAATCACGTAAGTGCCTTTCATTTTTCATTTGCAGCAGTTGAAGAAGAATAAGAAGTAACACAATCATGTTGGTTTGCAGAGAGTTTGTGAGGGAAGCTGGGTATGGTGGAAAGGGCAATCTGCCTCTAGAGAATTCCCCCGTGATTGTTAAAACAGAACCGTGGGATGGCAAAGATGGAGAAATCCTTGAAGAGGACGAGTTCTCCCTTGAAGAGCTCATGGGAGATGACACTGCACGCAAGGATGAGTTGTAAAACTTTCTGTAGAGGAGAAGCCTGAGAAAGAAAAAGGAAAAGAAACAAAATGGCGGGAGTACTGACAGGAACTGTTTTTTGTGTCATCTAATTAATCTGTACTGTCAGGAGTTGCATCAACATTTTCCTTTATGAAATTGAATTCTTCTGTAGTGAGCATTGGTGGTATTACTGTTTTCCCATAGTCCAATTATCATGTTCTTTCTATATGGCAAAGATCAAGCCCCTCATCCGAACCTCCTCATACTTGGGTATTGAGGTTGGGTCACTAAACAGTATACAGTGAAGCTGTTGGATTGCACGGATGGTATGAACTATGAAGCGCTTCAATAATCTCATATGTGACAAGACTTGAGACGAGTAGAATTGTAGGAAAAAAGAGAAAAAAAAAAATATTTTAAGAATAAGAAATATAATTAAAACTAACCAAATATTAGCAAATCAGGACCCCTTAAAGGAGATTAAATTTCATTTTTTTATTATTTTAATCCATACCTCCTTATTTATAGGAGCAGTCTCATCTTAATCATGGAAGTTGGTATCATATTAATCACCTGTCGCCACGCTGATTGTGGGTGGATGTTGCTAAGAGGTTGATTGTGTTTAGATAAAACAAAGAAATCAAAAACGTAATCATGCTTATACTAATGAACCCAACCCCTAAATCGAGGACCTAAGTTGTCTTCTTTGAAGAGCAGGTAAGCTTAGCTAAGCTCCTTAGAGTCTTGTGGACATTTTGTTCGTAACCAATAAATTAATAAAAAAGAAAGAAAGAAAGAAATGAATGAGTTCATTACAAGCTGACATGTAAGAGAGAGAGAACATCTTTCTAAGTCAGGCCCATTTATTTATTTATTTCTTCCTTACTAGAGTCTGTTTTCAATTTACTTCTCCTGATGTAAATATGCACGTCAAGGTGGAAACAGCTAAGCTGTTCATAAAAAATAAATCACATAAAAGTGGGAACTCAGAAGATACTCGTTGCACCCATTCAGCCAAAGCCGTGCCGAGGAGGCGAGGACTTATCACCCACACCCACCCAGCCGTGACCGAGACGGTGATGGTCGGTCTGGGAGTCAGAGGTCAGAACCTAACAACCATCACTCTCTGCCTCTCTGGAGTGCAACTGTACTTCGGGAACATCTCCCGTGAATAATGATAATTCAAAAGTACGGGAGATATTCCTAATACATGATATGATAGGATGTGCGTATGAGCCGCCCTCTGTGAAGAGCAGATCCGAGAATCATGAGCCAACTGGATGGAATAACGCAACCCTCCATTTAAAAGAAGGAATCACTCTGTTTATGCATTTAAACTAGACTAGAATTCAAGTCTAATCTGTATTGTCCCCTCCTCCAGTGGAGAGGGAAAGAGAGATCCATCAAAATGGGAGATGAAAGAGATGCCCTGTTGAATAGGATCTTCAAAAAGAAAGCCTTTTCTCGTGGCATTTCTAACCCAGCAGATGAGCTGCATGGCTTTAGGTCGATGGATGTTCGTGGATCAGTCTAACAGGTGGACCGCCTGTCTCTCTTGGTCTCTCTTCCTCCTGCTGGCCATGGCTGTTCCCCTTGTATCCCACTTTCTCCTGGCCTGTTCCAGCTGCGACGACAAACATCGACGCCCTTATGATGGGATTGCCCAATTATCTCTTACTTCAGTCGCCGCTGTCTCATTCATCTGTCTCTCTGCCTTTGCTCGCAAGTTCCTCTTCCTCGATAAGCTTTGCGATGAGAGCGAGAAGGTTCGTCAGGGATATACAGAGCAGCTCAACGTAAGCTCCCCTTTTCTTTCTTGTTTTCTTATACACAATCTTCGTTACTAATTACATTCGTTTGGGATTGGCATCCCAACAAGGAAATAAAAAACACAGGTTACTAAAAATATTTGGCTTAATATGTGATATGGGCTTATCCGTTTATCAACCATCTCTTAAGAAAATGCTTAGCCAAAATGATATTGGATCAACTTATCTTCTGTAAAATTAAGATAATCTCCGTTCCCGTTTTTAATGAATTGTTTTTGTCTTTTTTATTCCCGGAGAAGAAAAGACAGATATCCTGCTTTTTCGGATTTGATTTTATAAGAGATTGTTTTTTTAGTCTTCAGATGATTGGGTGAGTGGCTGTTTTCCAATTTGGCTAGGGTTGCTTTTCGCTTTCTCCCTGTTTTTTTTTTTTTTAATTTTTCCTTTTAATTAAAAACAACGAAGTGGTTGAATTTATATGGATCAAATTCCTTGTTGCTTGCTCATCAAAAAAAACTTCCTTTTTTTGTTAAATTTGTACCACAACTGAGATAGATATCAAAACCTTAATGTTCAGAATAATAAAATTGACAGAAAAAAAGAGGAAAAAAAAACATTCTTAGAGAAACAAATCGAAACTGGAATTTGTTCGATTTTCTGCTTCGAAGAAAAGTAGAAAACACTTTCCGCTGAAAGCTTAATCACAACTAAGAGTAAATTAGGAGTTAATGAATAACAGAAGAGATAAAATAAAATAACCAGAGTTTTCTGCGGGCTATGGGCTCATTAGAAATAAAAATAGTCAAATAAAATAAAGAGTTACAGAGAGTTTTCTGCGTGGGCTATGGACTCATTGGAAATACAAATAGTCAAAAACAACTACTGAATTACAGAAGAAATAAAAACAGAGTTTTCTGGGCAACTTTTCTGCTGCCTTGATGTCCTGCTTCCTTGACATCATGCATCAAGATCACGAAGCGCAGAAGAAGCATGAAACAAAGGGCTTGCAGTTGCAGAAGTAGGGTGGATAGATTTTTATGGGTGTAGCTATGGAGGTACTTTACTTATCATCATTTTCGAAATGTTACATTTAAAACAAACTGAGAAAGTATACGAGACGTTCACCAACTGATCCAACAACCGATACAAGTGTAGGACAACTGAACGCAAATTGGTTCTTTGTAAAAGTTTGGTGACTCTCCTCCTCCATCAACGTTGAACGATGGAGTCATATGTGATGAGTGAGTATTAGTATGATCAGTTTGTTTGTAATCATTCAATAACTAACTCAGTTCAAAGAAACACAACGCAGAGATCAATGAATATCCTAGCGCTGTTCGTGCTGCCATGTTTCGCGGCGGAGAGTGCGTACAAGATATGGTGGTACAGTTCCGGGGCCACTCGAATCCCATTCTTGGGTGACGTTTACGTGAGCTGCCTTGGCATGTACATTGGAACTGTGCTCGTGGCTCTACCGGACCTCCATCTTCTTCCTCGTCTGCGTTCTCTTCCGCCTCATCTGCTACCTCCAGATTCTCAGGATTCAAGACTTTGCCCAAGTGTTCCTAGAGGAGTCCGATGTGGGTTCTGTGCTGAAAGAGCATCTTAGGATCAAGAGGCACCTCCGCATCATAAGCCACCGCTACCGTGCCTTCATCCTCTCGACCCTCGTCCTCGTCACCGCCAGTCAACTCGCTTCACTCCTCATCACCACCCGCTCACACGCCGATGTCAGCATCTTCAACGCCGGAGAACTTGCGGTTAGCTTACTGTGACCTCTCTCTCTCTCTCTGGGTCGTATACTAATCAACCATAATCTGTACGGCAGCTATGCTCCACGACGCTGGTGACAGGGCTCTTCATATGCCTGCGCAGCGCGACGAAGATCACGCACAAGGCACAGTCTGTGACGTGTCTAGCGGCCAAGTGGCACGTCTTTGCGACGATCGACTCCTTTGATGGGGCAGACGGTGAGATTCAGACCACATGTAATTCAAACAGAATCAGCGGAAATGGCGAATCGGAGGATGAAGCGGAGGAGGCTGCAGATGGAGATGATGAACTGGACGACACCAAAATCATAGCGCCAGCCTATGCTCACACCATCTCTTTCCAAGAGAGACAAGCTCTTGGTGAGTTGAGAGTTGAGACTGTCTACAATTGCTTAATTTCATTTCCACGGCAGTCCGCAAACCAATCGACGACAATAAAATAATGATGTTATTGTTTGAATGGTGCAGTGACGTATTTCGAGAACAACCGGGCGGGAACTACCTTGTTCGGGTTCACTCTGGATAGGACTTGGCTCCACACAATTTTCGGAATCGAGTTGTCTCTCGTGCTCTGGTTGCTTAGCAAGACCATTGGCATTTCTTAAAGCAAACCCATAATTTCTTTCGTTCAGGAAAAAAAAAAAGTAAAGAAGAAACAGAGTTCTGTAATTGGGTGTGGTTGTTTTCTCTTTTTTTAACGTTTTGTTATTATTGTAGATATGTACACAGGGAGAGCTGAGGTTTGCTGATCAGTGTGGTTTTGAAAAGAAATGAAAACAGGAAAACACGACAGATCCAAACTTTGTCTACAAGAATGGAAACGAAGAAAACCGACATAAGGTGCGCAGAAATTGAGCACCAAAGGTTGCGTTGCTTAGGGTTGAATCGAACCAATCATGCCTATATTCAAACGGGTAAATCTCTTAAACTATCCCTACTATTCACGCAATTAAGAAACTGCGTCCCTACTGTTTAGATATTATATTGTGGTACCGTTAAGTTTTCTGACAACTACAACAACCTGGAAGCACTGGCAGACGTGTACCAAGACTTGCCCTTCCTACACAGTCTCCCAGGGCTCCGCCCGTGCCAACCTCCGTGGTTCCTCGCCGTTCATTCGTGCAACCGGGGGCTCTCCTGCTACGTTCACAACCCAGCTCTTGATCGGTGGCACTCTCTCCCTCTCGATTTCCTCAAATTTTAAAATAAAACCCCAATTGATGAACAATTCCGATGATTATGCCTGATTCCTTTTTCCAGCAAACTGTGTGTTTTGGGGCTAAGAACCGGTTCGACGACATGGTTTTCCGTTTATCAGACTGGTGCCCTTCTGCGGGGAATAAATCGCCACTAGAACTCCATCTTCTCTCTCTCTCTCAAGCCTTCCTGCCAGTCTTCCCACTTTGATTTCATTCCATTCTTTTCTGCAGCTTTCTTTCATCTCTTGAACGTCTCTAACGGTTGATTTATTTACTAATCCAGATTTGAGATTTTTTTGGCCTAAATTTTCAAATCAATGTATTTTCGTCACTGTTTTCAAAATCGGATCGGATCGGACGGTCAGACCGGAAAAATTGGAAACGGGTCACTTGACCAGTTCTGTTTTCCTCTAAAACCGTTTTTTCCCCTAAAATCATTGATTGTAGTCAGCAAATCATTGAACCAGCCAGTTAAATGTTCAAACGGTTTTGACCATTTTTTAATTTTTTTATTTTTTATCAGAACGGACCGATCGTTCAGATCAAACAGTTGGACCGTTCGAACCGCTAACTAGACCCCTGACCGGTTAAGTCACCGGTTCGTTTTTAAAAACCATGATTTTCGTTCATGTAATTTGAGGTCTGATTTGTCGGTTTTTTCCTCTTATTTTCCGGCATAGAAATTCAGCATTTTTCTAATAAATCAATCAATGATTTCTTTTGTTCCTTTCTGTCAATTTGGGAGGCTTCCACTTTCCGCTGTGCATTGAACTAAAAGTTTTATTTTTCCCTTTTGTGGTAGTTCGTCTATTCATCTGTTTGGGTGATTGATTTGTGGGCATTCACTCTGAAATGGTTACAGTAAACCTTGGGTGGTAGATGACGTGTTCTCTGTATACATGAATCTTGATAATATGGATACGTAGAAGTGTGCAATCGAGCATTGAACAATCGCACGAGGACAAAGAGGCACAGATTTCTTTTTCAATCAAAGTTTTGGAAAAACTTGGAAACCAGGGGTTTTTCATCGGTTGGGTTTTATTTTAAAAATTTGATAAATAGTGAAGGGCAAATTCGATATTTTGTTTCCTTTCGTTAGTAATTGACAATGGTGATAATTGTCATAAAACTTAAGAGTACCGCAAGACAATATTTAAAGTGTAAGGGTACAGTTTGTTAATCTTGATTCCTATTAAATCTGTTATGTTTAGATTCCTATTAAATCTTTATTCATTTAATCTTGATTGAACAGAGATGAAATTCAGATACTGAGTTCCATTAATAAATTAAGAGCCTGTTTGATTCATGGGAATAGGTCTGGAATCCGAATTGGAATGGGCCATTCGGATTTCAATTCCAACTACTTGGTTGGGTGAAATTGGAATTCCATTTTTATTCCTGGTAGTATGGCATTTTCCCATTCGAGTAATGGCCATTCTCTCCCCCTCCAGTGGCAATGAAATCCAATTCCAGCCGATTTCAATTTGAACAAAACAAATTATGATAATACAATATTCTGATTCTGATTCCGATTCCGACTACAAATCAAATGGACACTAAAAATCCAACTAAAATGCATTTTGAAATTTGAAATTTTACAGTTCATTGCAGCAAAATTTCAACCAATTGTGTCAAAAGATATTACATGGTCTACTTTGATATATCACTTTATATTTTTATCAGGTTTGTTCATATTTGAGTTATGTTGTAGCCAATGGTGGAACCAGGAATTTTTTCCTTTGGGGGCTAAGAGAAGAGGGAGACTTGAGAATAGAAAATAGGCGAAATTTCCTATAGTGCACCTAAGAGAAGTATTTATCCATATCAAATCCAACCTAAGAAGCTCGGTTAAAGTTTCTCTAAAGGTTCCTTCAAAATAAAAAGTTTCTCTTTAGTTCTGGATTAGAAAAAATTATGAACCTTATTTTAACTTTCGGGTTGGGCTAAGATTCAGGTATTATCCAATTCAACCCTACAAAATAATTTGGATTGACCCAAAAAAAAGATGAAATACTTGAAGCATACCTTGAATTTTCAGAAATTGACTTAAACTTATTCTGAAGTTTTAAAATGGATTTATACATAATTTGTAGGTTGACCTTGTTGGACTTAAACATACCGAAATATCACATGTGAATTCATTTATAATTTTTAAAATCTTATTTCACCCTTCTATCCCCCTCACTTTTTTTCTGACAGAAAAAAAAAAGTTCTTGCTCCATCTTTGTACACACACAAGTCCTGAATGCTAACCATTATGCAGTAAGCTGCACGCTACCGCTACCATTTCAAGCCTTGCATAATTACATACATGTTGATAGAAACATAAAGAAATGCTAGTTTTTTGTATTGAGAGAGAGAGAGATTTCGATGTCTATCCAAGTCAGTCAAGATACTCCCCAATGTTGGATATAAGTGATTTGTGATGTTTCAATTTGAGAATGCATGATCCGTCATCTTTGATGTATTTCAGGCCTGTAATCTGCAATATATCACTACTAGAGATTGCAAGAGGCTTGGTATCAACAATTTCTTTTGAACTTCTGTACTGAGCACCATTGGCTTATGATCGAACAGCTTTTACAGCCTTGCATTGGGATTTATCTCCATACTTATGTGCTTTATTTTATGGGAAAATATTCTTGATGCAAGGTTGCAAGAGGTTGTTGGCATGGTGTGAGCACGGGCTTGCCCTGACCAAAGCCGAGTTTTGGGATCTGTTGGTCCCTTTTGAGTGCTAACCAATCCTTCTCTCTACATCCCCGCCCATTTGTTATGACCCACATGTTCCTCCACTCGTCCTTAGGATCTACATTTAAACCTAAAGCCATGACACTAGGGCTGTTCACGGGTCGGGTTGGGTCGGTTTATTGAGGTTTTTCCAATCGACCCGACCTGGTCGGGTTACCTGAGATGGAAACCGAAACCGATCCAGTGTTAAGCAAAACCGACCTGGTCGGTTTGAGTCGGGTTGGGTCGGTTTCGGCTCTATGGAAATATATATCTAACATATTTCATAATATATAATTTTTAGATATAGATATTGGAATATATATTTTCAGATATTTCAGTTTTTAGTTAAGTAGGAACTAAGTTGGTTCGGTTCGGGTCGAATTCGGTTTTCACACAAGAAAACCGAAACCGACCCGAACCATCAGTTTATGAATTTGTACAATTCGAAACCGACCGATGCTAATGAAAACCCAGCCGACTCGGGTTGGGTTGATCCGGGTTGGTTAGTTTGATCGGGTTGGGCCTTCTTATGAACAGCCCTACATGACACCACTGAGCTCTAGGTCTTTCAATATTGTGTGCCTTTTGTCTATTCCATGTTTTTCTTGATCCCTAAAGAGAGGCTTCTTTTGAGGTCCACTTCTGCTTTGAAGCACCATTGAACAGTCTATAAAAGTCTGTCTTCTGTTTTGGTTCTTGTTGAAATTTTGAAAGAAAATGAAAGATAAAACAGTCGTATGTTTAAGTCCATTTTAAAAGAGAAGGGTATATTTAAATCAATTGCTAAAAACTTGAGGTATGTTTAAATCCTTACCCAAAAAATAATAATGATAGTCTTAGAATTAGGGTTTCAACAAATTGAATTGGCTCAGGGTTGAAATGAAGTATTAATGTGACTCTGCCCCCACCAAGTAACATTTTCTTTGAAAAGTTTGGGGGTTCAAGGACCCCACTCAATAACTTGGCCCGCACTTGATTGCAACATTTTCCATAGAATGCGCCACAGGTTTTGCCATAATTTAAATCAAATATTATAGATTATTAATATAATGAAATATGATTTGAAAATAAATTTAAATATTTGCATGATTCTAGGCTTCTAGCAATCAAACCAAGTTTAGCAAATTATTGATGGATTGTGGGTTTGTTAGATCTTCCATAAGGTTGCCCACATGTTGGTTCAATATGCAAAGTTTAATGATAGTCCTTGTAGATGGTGGGCATCTCCTCTACCGTAGTGGTTTTCTTTTTGTTGGCTTATCAAAAGTGAATGAAAAATAATAATAATAATAATAATAATAATAATAATAATAATAATAACATTTTTCTTATTTTAGGGGGATCTGGTTCCCCAACACGCTTAAAAAAAGGTTGATTCCGAGATTTTATTTTATTTTTTTCATTAAGTGATGGACCCTACTTTGAACACTGATGCGTATTGGTTGTTATTCTTTCCATACTCCTTAAATACTCTATGATATGGGAGAACAGTGGCAAAGCATAACCATTTCTCTTGTGCAACATATGCAGCTACATTAATCAGTTATGAACTTATCTTAAAACATCGGAAACCTCGGATCACTGGTGAGAGTTGCTAAACCCCACCCTCGCCCCAAAGTACAAAATAAAAAGAAGAAATGAATAACGAAAATTATCTTTAAGCTTTGCAAAGCCTTGATTATCGATCAGTCAGTGGCCTAGAAACAACCTCTATAGTTCTAAGAAGTTGCAAAAAAATACTTCACATCTCATCTTTCTCTATTTTCCAAAATTTTACAAGTAAATGCCCTATTTACAAGGTACAGAGTATATAAATAAAGATACAGCCGAATTACAAATGGTGAAGACTTTTCTCATCTTTTTCTCTTTTAATAATTTTTCCTCTATTCGTTAGGTTATCGTGAAGCCAGGAGTATGATATCAATACTAGAATTGCTGAGCAAAACGACATTTACTCCTAAAATTTGCTGCACTCTATCCTGAATAAGCATTCCTTTCTCAGAGGTGAATCTGTGAATATCGCTTTGATGAAATTCTGAACCTGCTCAAAGAAGCATCTTAAGGGTGAGACTGGATCCATTAAGATAAGAACACACATACACATGAAATTGCCAGAGATGTCTACCACAATGATTTATCTTATCGAGAACATAATCTACCATCCCAAAAAATCAGATAGAAATGCTCCATAAACAAGTCACAACGTACCTCAGCTGATGTAAAGCCACAACTAACTAGTTCTCCACTTTCCCAAGCTGTTGTTATAGATTTTAAAGGCATGTCTAATAGATCTATCAAAGTAAAACAAGTTTGTCAATTTCCACAAGAGAGAGAGAGAGAGAGAGATGCTAAGGAGGCTCTTCTATTTTTTTCTTGTACCCTTAAAAATCATCTTATTATACCACACACCTGGAACATTGTACGAGGGACCCACATTTGTTGACAGAAGTGGGTTCACCTGAAATGTCAAAATTTTCCAAATGTGTGTAAGATGAATTTGTCAAGGGTAGAAGCAAGGTTCAAAATTTCGATAGTATTGGACTACATTGGCCAATACACCTCTACAGGGTGTGACCTGGTTCAGGGGGTAGACAGGACCTTAAACCGACCCCTCTGAACCAGATTGAAAAACAAAAGCTAAAAAAGAAAAACAATAAAAGTGAGCAAAGATACAGGCCAATATGCCCCAACTGGCACATCGTCCTGAATCGATATTTTGAACCTTGGGTAGAAGCAGAAATGTTAACTCCTTAGCATTCCTTTAAAAAAAAAAAAGAAAGAAAAAGTAAAGCAGGACAAAACATGCCTGCCAATTTGCGGAGTTTACGCAAGGATGGAAGAAGCTCCTCTAGTTGAACAGAAGTGAATCCCTCTTGTGACTTCTTTTTCTCATTGATGGCAATTAGGGACTCAAATAATGAAGATAAGCTCTCAACCGTTAAATGGATCAGCCTCTGAAGCTGAAAACAGGATAAAGGCTTAAGAACACTTGAATACATGATTTGTTTCAAAAGACGTAATAAATGAAAAAGTACAATTTACAGGCAGTACCTCTAGTGTCTCCTCTGCTGCCATATCATCTAAAAGCAGTACATCTTTTATCATTCTGGAGAAAACATATTCTAGAACAATGCACATACTCTTTTTGTAAGTTGATGGCAGCAAGAGTGGCTCCCATATAATATGCACCTTCTCAAGAATGAAGACAACCTGATAAAGGAATAGTTAGTTATCAAAAACAAATTGTTGAAAAAAATGTTTTACAATAACCTTATAGCATAGTTACCTGATCTATGCTAAACTTTGCAGATTCATATTGCTGCATTTGATGAGTATTCTGGAATCCATCAGCACCATCAATAGCCTGAGACCAGACAAGCCCAATAAGAAACAACAAACAAAGTGCATCCCCACAAGGCACTAAACTAAATGAACAACATCTTCATATGGGTATACCTGTGTCAAGTTAGAATTAACTAGTTGAATTTGTTTCTGCAGTATATCTTCTGCCATCTGATGGAAACTTGGTGCCATATCAACAAACACTGCATGCTCCTTGACAGAACTTGGAAAATCTGACCGATACTGAATTAACAAAATCAAATGCAAGAGTATGAACAAATAGATGCTGAAATAGCGGAAGGTTAAATCAGATAGTTTCATGAAAAGATCAATTAGAATGCCTATTGCATTAGGATATAAGCTAAAAATTAACCATGCATTTACATAAAAATAATTGCCTGGGTGGGTACCTAGTCACCAGATGACAAGGCACTCCTGTAGACTAAACTCACCTCAGCACTTAGACAACTATGATCTAAGGCCAATTGACTATGGCACTAGTGGCAAAGATAAGTTTGTGATAGGATAATTAGTTATGGTTTCTCAAACCTACCAAGTTCATATGATCGTAATCTCCAGTTAAGGTTATTCTGTTAGAACTATATATTCACACACAAACATGCAATATAATACAATACATCTGTCCCTCCCCAGACCCTGCATTGGTGGGAGCCTCATGCACCGGGCTGCCCTTTATATGGAGTGGTTTATCACCGAGAAATAGGGTTGTCCAATACCAGAGTGGCTTTAGATATGGAATAATGCAATGAAATAGGGACTCCCAAAATTAGTTCCATAATCCATATACCAAGTTTCAGGTTTCTAATTTGTAGTTAGTAGTTACCAATCTTTTGACCTAACCTTTTTAGTTTGTAATAGTGCCTTTACTCGTTTGGATTAATGAGTAACTGTAAGTGTAGACCATAGACACATGAATGTCACAACAGATAAAGGAAAGACAATATCATTTTTTTCTGTTGTTGGTGCTTGCCCTTCCACTGGTAAATGCATCCTTCGAGGCCTGGGGGTCATATTCTTTCTTGTCAAGGCCGATGCATGTTGGCCACAAAGGAATTTAGAGAAACCCATGATGAATTGAAAAGGAATTTACTGGAAATTCTCCAATCCTCTTTGGGAAAGTTTCTGGCTATAGCTATTCTTCCTCTTCTGGCCCATGATAAGTCAAATTACAATTTAGTCAAAGTGCAGCACAGAACCCCAAGGCAACTGGATTTAAGAAGATCTCAAATCAGAACATCATTTGGGCATTTTTGTGGGTTCATCAGACAAATGCTAACTCCACGGAAGCCCAGGGTGGGAGCCATCCTAGTGGGCGCCCACATTGCCAAATAGTTTCTACTACAATCTTTGGCAATCAAGTTGACTCAGAAAACATAATAAGTTGGAGGCAAAAGTTGGATGGTAGCCTTTGGCAGTTGGCATACTATCTAAATGAGACTAGGGAAACTATGGCAGTTAGGCCAGTATAGAATTTATGAATTTCCAAGAAAACTAAATGCAGTAGCAGATGACTAGCCAAATCAATGGTAAAGGAGTTTTTATAGAACAGCAATTTCTTGCCAATGTATATGTTTTCCTGTTCATTTGTGGAGGGTTGCTTGTCTAAATCATCATGCTCCATTGTACATCCTCTCATGTACAAATCTCTTTTTGATATATAACACAAATCACTTTCCTTTTCTCTCAAAAAAAAAAAAATGAAAGGAACTATTCTTTTACATGCTCCAAAAAACGAAACATATATTAAACAGAAGACAATAAGATTGCATAAAGTACAAAATTTCACACATACCTCAAAAGCAAGGCCAAGAATCTCATTAGACAGATAAAGGCAGTCATTGTGCACAAGTATGGCAACTTGGTTGATGCTATCAAGATGCTTCTCTAACTTTGTATGCCAAAAGGAACAAATTTATAAACATAAGTACGATATCTCCAACATAGTCAAGTTGCATTCTCTTTTATTTCTTACACACAAAAGCACTTAGAATTTCGTTTCACCCTACTACCTTCCATGTACTAACCTTGACAGGTATAACAGCTTGGTAAAGAAGCAGAGCATCTCTTGCAGCATGATAGAACTCCATAGCCACTCTTTTTGATGACAAGCAAACATCCTGCACTGATTGCCATGCATCAGAATTATGGTATATTGGTATCCAAAAAAAATCATACTGATTTGCGTAAAAGGGCCATTACCTAATGATGGTCCTGTGCTTTTTCTCTCTAATTTTAATATAATCTGCGAGTTGTTGATAAAAAAAAAACGATGGTCCTGACTATCCAGGGTCTTGGGAAGGGTAGACTGGATATGGACGTTAACCAGGGCTGCTCTCTCTCCCTCCCTCTCTCTCTCTCAGACTCAAATCTGTATTCTCATGCTTATCATCCCAAGGTTTTACCATTGCACCAAGCAATGGCCCCTAAAATCATACTGGTTTGAGTGACCAAAAAAAAGGAAAAAAGAAAGAAAGAAAAACACAGAGAGAGAGAGAGAGAGACTCTTAAAAGAGATGAATGTTCAACTTGAGGATATAATGTCAACCTAATACATCTATCTATTATTTATTACAATAATATCAATGTAGTAGCTTCGATGGACCACCTTCCAACTAATCACTGTCCTAAAGATAAAAATATGTCAACATATTTCACAAATTTGCTCTTTTATTTGGTTTTTTTATCAAGTACTGTTTTTATTGAAGAGTGTATTGTACCTAAACTATCTTCAGCTAAGGAGTCAAAGGGAAAATTACCATAATGCAATTAAAAGCTTACAAAGGAACAAAAAATGATGAAACATTTGGAATTAGTTTACAATGAGCTCACTAATATTGCTGAGAACTGCCAAAAATACTGAGGTCCACTCATTAACAAGCTTGTGTACAGAAAACAACAAACATCATTAACAAAGGTGCTTGGGTGAAAAAAGTGATTCAAAACTGTGCATCAAAGAGCTTGGTTTCAAAGAAGTATGCAATAGACTCCACATGCTGAGAAGCCAGGTAAAAGAAAATTGGTATTGCTGGTTTGTGCCATGAGTGGAAAACAAGCTTGGTTTCAAATAAAGGTATTGAGTCCTGTAAACTATAGAAAATTATAAATGGGATGAACTGCCCTTCTTTTATTTCATTTTCTTATTCTTCCTATACCTTGAGTGTTTGATGCACTAATTCCATAAGTTGGGATGCTGCCTTAGACACCACACAGCTCTCCGGATAAAAAAGCAAGTCAACAGCATGCTGAGCAACATTTCCATCCATTCCACCATCCTTCAAAGTAGGACCCTTTCTTGTATATTCCTGTGACAAGTACATTTTTTTAATAGGTGCACAAATGCTATATAATTACACAGTGCTGGTGTAATATACATACTGGAGCAAGGATAAAATCACATTGTAGTAGTAAATTTCTAGCCTTTGCTAGGATTTCAGTCTTCTTCCTATTTGCAAAGTGAACCTCCACATTTTGTGCAAAATTGCTCAATTTTTCATCCTTGCTATCAGATGCTGAAATAAACAACATTTCCTTTAGACCAGTCTCGAAGTCAGATGTGAGTTTTATGATCCTTTGAAACTCTGCAAGCTTTGAAGCATCATTAGGAACAGCCTGAAATAAACATTTTGTTAGCTAAATTATTCGCAAATAACAAAGATAAAACAAGGAAAACAGCAGAATATAACATTATCATTTCTGAGATAATATATATATCAAAGCATCCACTAACAGTCTGACACATGAACTCCATGGCCAAAAAGCAGTAGCACAAGCAATAGCAAAGATAATATAAACTAGCTAATACTTAATGCTTTAGCCACACCATACCTACAATGCAACCCCATATTGGACATATAACCAAAAGAGCTTCTGATTAATGATTACTCCAAGTATGATAGCCTGCCCTTAAGTCCAACTTAGAGAAAATAGTGGCCAGCCACTGATGTTCTTCTAAGGAATGGGGTAACAAGGAAATGTTTGGCGAAGCTAATGCTAAAGTGGATGGGAGGCTTCGTGGAGAAAGTGGAGGGAGGTTTCGTGGAGAAAGTAAAATGGAGGTCTGCTCTGAGGATAGAGGCCAAAGAGTTTCTCTTCAAAGAGATACGGATCAAAGGAAGAATGGGTTTGAAAGTAAGAGAACAGAAGAGAGCCACGATCCTTGTGGAAGGCTCAGAAATGATTGAGTGGGTGAAAGAGTTTGTCTCTGATGCAGCTGCTAAAGGGAAGCAGAAATATCGGAAAGAAAAATTCTCAGGATCGGGTAG